CCCTAAACCCCTAAGCCGTAAACCCCTAAACCCTGAACCCCTGAACCCCTAAACCCTAACTGACAGCATCTCAAGCTTCAAACCCCAGGCCCTAAAACCCGATCTGTCAAAGCTAAGCAGCCAGTGTCATGACGGTATCTGTGGAGAGTGGCCTCATCAGGGTCGGGGGTTTATAACTTCAGGGTTAAGGGTTCAAGATACCGTTTAAACCCTATAAACCTTAAACCCTAAACTTTAAACCCTAAACCCTAATTTAGTGCTTCGGGTTCTGGTGGGATTCTTTTGCGTAACATGTACCCAAGGACAATAAAGGATACTACTGCTCATTCAGATCTCTAACACCGGGTAGGGAGTAGAATAGGGCTTTGGAGCATCTTTTAGTAAAGTTTCTTTACGGAGCCCCATGGAACTATGCTCCTGATTAAACCGGCTGTTCTTGGTAACCGTAGTAACTATAGTATATCAAGCACGGCAGGGAGATGATGTGGGTAGTTCTCTAACTTAGGCCACCTTTTTCATGCCCCAACATAGTACGACACCCATATGAAAGGGCCAAACCCTAAACCCTAAAACCTAAACTCTAAACCCTAAATTAAGAGAACTACCCATGTGCACAGAGGCAGTCTGCTCCAGGAGCTAGCTGCGCGGTTTAGGGTTTAGGGTTTAGGGTTTAAGCTTTTTACATGATCCAAGCTTGACAGCAAGAAAGGGCAAGTGCAATCTAGGGGCCTTAACGAGAACGGTTTTTTTTTGGGGGTGCTTTATACTACAGTTCTTATAGGAGCGCTAAGGAATAGTATCTTTACTGAGAGCTCTCCCTTGAGAGACTCAACGAACTGCTTCATCTGGCAAGTCTCGAACACTCAAAGGGTGTTTCGGGGCTTAGGGTTTAGGGCTTAGGGCTTTCGGGGTTTAGGGTTTACGGAACCCTGAACCCCTAAACCCTAAACCCTAAACCCTAAACCCTAAAACCCTAAACCCCTAAACCCTAAATCCTAAACTAGGGAATCGTAAAGCCTCCAACGACCCTGCTGTGCATGGAGAAAGTCCTTCACCATGGACAGGAGCTTATCCAACTGCCCGGGCTCCCATCATGGAGGGGCCTTAATACTTAGAATAGGGTTCTGGGCTCCTGTATGGTAGAGTTACTACTTATAATGAGGAACCTAAGGAATAATATAGGTAATTATTTAGGCCCCTATATTTCCCGCCAAACCCTCAGAAACAAAACCCCACAATCCAATCAATAAGCCGCCTTGGGTCTGGGCGGGGGTCTCATACCCATAGGCCCCATGGTAGTTCCTTTTCGGGATTACAGTACCTTACAGGAATTTAATTATGGACCCCAAAAAAGGAGCTACTATGGGGCCTAGGGGTAGCCCCAAGTGCATTGAACTGGGCAACTGGGAAGTCATAGGGCGTGAATGCCGCCTTTGCCCGGTTTAGGGTTTAGGGTACCCTGAACCCTAAACCCCTAAACCCCTAAACCCTAAACCCTAAACCCTAAACCCAAAACCTTAAGGTTTAGGGTTTAGGGTACCCTAAACCCTAAACCCCTAAACCCCTAAACCCTAAACCCTAAACCCTGAACCCCTACTAAACCCTAAAGCCTAAACCCTAACCCCTAAACCCTAAACCCTATTAGGGTTTAGGGTTCAGTCCCCAAGGCCCAGGCCCAAACCCCCAAGCTTCAGACCAGCGGCGGACTCCAGAGGACTGGTTTTACCAGCCGCAAAAATTCTGAGAAGGAGCCGGAGTATAGGGTTTAGGGTTTAGGGTTGTAGGGTTTTAGGGTTTTAGGGTTTTAGGGTTTAGGGTCTAGGATTCTGAGAAGGAGCCGGAGTAAGAAAAGACACTGGTGGCATTCTTGACGAAGTCGAAGGCGTGAGACCCAGAGAATCCAATACCCCTTAATTAAGGAATATACCTTAAATCATAATATTTAAGACCCCTATAGCTTAAGGTATATTCCTTCATTCTCTTATAGATCCCTTTAAGGAACCCTTAAAGATCCCGTTAAGGCCCCTATGGCTTAAGGTATACTCCTTAGTTAAAGTGTATTGGGTTCTCTGGGGACATGTGTCCGGAGCCGAGGCTCATCAAACTTGCCATCATGTTCCAGGCTTCATCGTCCACCTGCAGCTGCCTCTTAGGGTTTAGGGGTTTAGGGGTTTAGGGGTTTAGGGGTTTAGGGGTTTAGGGTTTAGGGTTTAGGGTTTAGGGGTTTAGGGTTTAGGGTACCCTAAACCCTCAACCCTAAGGTTTAGGTCACGCGGAATACGCGTGGAGCTGGAAGACCAAGGTGAAGGTCTGAAATCAAGGCTCGAAGGACATTGAATCTGGCACGCTGTGCCACTATTGAAAACTGCTAAACCCTAAGACCCTGGACCCTAAACCTTACGGTTTAGGGTTTAGGGTTCAGTCCCCGAGGCCTATTGAAAAAATACTAAACCCTAAACCCTATTGCCGATGACTCCGGCAGAAGCGGCCTCGCCTTTGCCCCGAGCCCCTCATGGAAACCCCTACGCAACACGAAAAGCACAGACAATGAGTGTTACTACGGTTTAGGGTTTAGGGTTTAGGGACAATGAGTGTTAACGAAACCCATAATGTCGGGGCCTTAATAAATAGAATAGGGTTTTGGGCCCTTTATCTATAGCATAAATAGAATAAGGAACCCTAAGGAAAGATATTGGTAATTATTTAGGCTTCTACATTAAGCCTCCACCGGAGCGAAGCTTGGAAACCCTTAACCTCGCAGCATTGTAGGACCCTACAACACCCTCACAGAACCGTCCTCACACCCTAAGCCCCTAAACCTGAAACCCCACGCCCTAAACCCCTAAACCCTAAACCCTGAACCCCAATAAAATCCTAAACCCCCCAAACACTCATGCAAACCCGAAGCCCCAAGGACTCGTCCGGTATCCGAGGGTAACTAAAGGCTTTAGGGTTTAGGGCTTAGGGCTTATATTGCATTTATGATTATATATAGGGATTCAACAGGTTAAAGGTTACCTCCCATTACTAAGTTCGACTACAAAGAAGCCGCCTACAACCCTCATTGACCCCCTAATAGCCCCTGAACCGGCCCCTGAAAAGGACCCCTCTAACTTAAAGTTACACACCCTACGACGAAGCAAACCCTAAACTCTATACCCTACAGTACCCTTGTAGAGCCCTTAAAATGAACCCCTTAAAGTTTAAAGTCCTAATCGATAACCCTAAAAGTAGGTTACCCTAAACCCTACACCCGAAACCCTAACACCTAAACCAGCTTACCCTCCTGCAAAGCTGTGACTTGACCCAGGCACTTCACAGAGACGGAGCCCACGAAGCGCAGGTAAGGAGGAACCGACTGGCCTGTCAGGGCTTTCTGGAGGGCTTTTGGGGCTTTGGAGCTAGCGTTTCGGGTTTATGGTTTAGGGTTTGATTAGGGTCTCGGGTTTAGGGTTTAGGGTTTGTGGTTTAGGGTTTAGGGTGCTTTCAGGGCTGTGGGGTGTAGGAGTCTAGATTTTAGGGGGTAGGGCTGCCTGAGTTTAGAGTTTAGGAGTCGAGAGTTCAGGGTTTAGCGCTGCCTGAAGGGTTTTAGCCGGGTTTTTCATGGCTTCTACACGGGGTGTACAGGGGTGTGAAAGGACGAGTTCAAGCTTAAGGGGCTTTTGGACCCTAAACCCTAAACCCTAATTAAAACCCTAAGCCCTGATGCCCTTAACCGCAAACCGTAAAACCCTAAACTCTAAACCCTACAATCCTAAACCCTAAACCCTAAACCCTAAACCCCTAAACCCCAAAACCCAAAACCCTAAAACCCTGAACCCTAAAACTCTAAACCCTGCTGGTGCTGGGTTTATGTTGTTTGGTTCGGGAGATTGGGGGTTCCCAGAAAACCCAATACCTCTTAACAAACGGTTTAGGGTTTAGGGTTTAGGGTTTGGGGTTTAGGGTTTATCTTTTGTCATGATATTATAAGGCCCCGATAACTGAAGTTATATTCCTTATAGTCAAGGGGAATTGGGTTCTCTGGGTTTTTGGGTGCGGCTTAGGGTTTATAAAGTCTTGAAGAAGGCGACGGCTGCGTGAACCGGGATTCGGTAGGGGTTCGTTCGAGCAGATTTCTGTATGAGGTAAACTTGTGCTTTGTGGTTTGAGGATTTTTCGGGAAGGTTTTGGAAGTTTAGGGCCTAGTTCAGGGATTTAGGGCTTAGGAAGTTTTGTGCATTCGCGAAGAAGGGATCGGTGAGATTCGTCAGTAGGCTGCAATTGGAGTATTGAGAGTATCCGGAAGAACTGACTGTCATGTTTGTATATCGGTATCTTGGGAATAGAATGGATATACTATGATACGAAAAACAACATGGGTAGTTCTCTAAATTAGGGTTCCTTTTTAGGTCCCCTATTTAGTACGGCACCCATCTAAAAGGACCCTAAAAGGGACCCTAACTTCGAGAATTACCCACATGTTTCCATGGAAAAGAACCCAATTCAGGGTGAAGGGATTGGAAGTCGGTGAAGGATTACTGGGCTGGCCTTTAAACCCTCTGGAAAATATTTATATACAGGGCCCCCCTTATAAACCCAAATATGGAAAATCAAAAATGTCCCAAAAACATAAAGGGCCCCTTATAAACCCAAATATGGAAAATAGAAAATGTCCCAAAAAACAACCTAGATTAGTGTGGGGGGTTGTGGCCTTGGACACGTGACTCGTGGGGATTCACGCGCCTTTTGTACCTAAAGTCTGCATCGTAGCTCCTTTTCTTGGCGGTTTAGGGTTTAGGGTTTAGGGCTAACCAATTTTATGGCTAGGATCCTATGACATAAACTTGGTTAGCCACAAACTTTTGACTATAGTGACTATAGGTAGGGTTCAAAGTATTCAAAGTTCAATGAACAGGACATGCAAAAGCTGGGTTCTTATTAAGGGATTTAATATAAGTTACCATCATAAGGAAACCATATTATGTGCTCTAGATTCCTATTAACCCAGAAATGGGGTTCAGGGTTGAAGAGTCGTTTGTAGCTTCAGTCTCACGCATACCGTCAAATCGATTGAAAAAATATCGCACAGACTCCATCACTATACGTTTTAGGGTTTAGGGCCGAAGCACCAGGCTTGAACTGGCTGCAGAGCCCTGGCTTTACAGACTGCGGTCTATCTGAGACTTTTCGGAACAATGGTGACGGAAAAGGTCTTCAGCACGAACAACAGCCAAGAGTCATGCGGACAAAAAGCACAAACTGGCTGTTTTAGCTACACTGCAATGTAGGAGGGCCATCTTTCCACCCATGTACGGGCAGGCACCGCTGAACATGCGAGGTGCCTTCTGATTGCGGGCCCCTTCGGAGGAATCCCTCAGGGGGGGGACAGAGTCACGCAAGCAGCTGTACAGTCGCAGCTGGTACCGAATAGCATCATCGCGTACAGAATATCCCCTAAACCCTAAACCCCTACCCTAAACCCTAAACCCCCTAAACCGCAATGCAGCAGGTCGGACGTCCTTCGAAACTCCAGTGCGCTTTAGGCTACACCTCCCGGCCATGACAAGAGCACGTCCGCCACGTTCGTACAGGTCTTTCGTCAAGCTGTGAAGCCTGAGAGGTCTTTGGAGTAGCATGTTCGTGGTTGTGGGGGTAATATAGGGGCCTGAATAATTACCTATACTATTTTTTGGGGGCTCCGTATTTATAATTATAGTGTCTTGGGCCCCAAAACCTTATTCTAATTACAAAGGCCCCTATATTAAATTGCATGCAGGCCAAAGGCTCCATGTACCTTTATAGTAGATACTTAGGCCTTAAAGTACCTATATGGGGACCCCTTTAAGGCCTAAGTATCTACTATCTGGGTACATGGACCCTCAAACCCTAGACACTTATTGTACCCTTATAGGAACCCTTATAGTAACCCTAAACCCTAAAGCCCTTATAGGACCCTGCCTAAGTATCTTCTATGGAGCCATTGGGCAGGCTTTCAAGTTTTTGCGGTGCGAGGCTTAGGGTTTTTAGAGCGAGAAGGCAAGCTGCGCAGTCGACTTCCAGGCTGCTTTTGGCGGGCTGCAGACCTGTTCAGTTTAAGTTCCGAAGCCTGGTGGAAGAAAGAAGTTTAGGGTTTAGGGTTTAGGGTATAGCTATCTGATCTGACAAAGCCCTGCTAAAGCCCAACCAGGGCAGGAGCTCCTGGCAGCTCTTCGGACAGAAAACTGGGCTCTTCTTCAGGGATTTAGGGTTTAGGGATTCTTGTTCAGGGTAGGGTTTAAGGATTCTTTTTAAGGGATTTAAGGTTTATGGTTTAGGGGTTCTTGTTAAGGGATTTAGGGTTTAGGGTTTAGTCTGGGGAAGTCTGCGCTTGGAATTCGCATGTGCGTCTGACCCGCCACGAAGAAGCGGGAGAAGCGGTCCGCGAAACCCTAAACCCTCAACCCTAAACCCTAAACCCTAAACCCTAAACCCGCAACCCTAAACCCTAAACCCTGAACCCTAAACCCTACAGTCGGTCCGCGAATTGCAGCTATAAGGCTTCCGGGCTTGACTGCAACTTGCACGAGGCGTGCAACAAAAGAGCAATCCCTAAGAGTCCATGTGCCCAAATGGGTTCCTTTAAGGGTACCATAAGGGTTCTAGAAGGCTTCTACAGGGTCTAGGATATAAGGGTCCATGTTCCCGGATAGTAGATACTTTGGCCTTAAAGTAGTCCCTATATAGGTACTTTGGGGCCAAAGTATACTAATTTGGCACATGGACCCCTAGGGAATGCTTGTGGTTGGACTCATTTCTCGTCACATTCCCGTGTATGATCTTCCTTAACTCTGCTTCGAAATACTATCCCCGAATGGCAACCCGAAGATATTGTGCACTCACCAGTTCACCCTGACGCAAAACCGCGTCACAAACGGTCTAAACCCAATAAAGCTCTGTTGACCCGCATAGAGGCAACATCAAGCCACAGCGAAACTCACATGCTCAATCAGACCTGTTGCGTGCAGTAAACTCGCCGAAACCACCCTAAACCCTAAACCCTAAACCCTAATACCACAAACCCTTTGAGATTGTTGCGCCCCCTTGAAGCTCCCACACCCATAGAAAGCCAACTTTAGGGTTAAGGGTTAGGGTTTAGGGTTCAGGGTTTAGGGTTTAGGGGTTTAGGGTTTAGGGTTTAGGGTTTCAACCAAAACCTTCTACAAGCCACTTAAACACAAACTACAAGAAGCCATGGCGCTGTTTGAACCACGTCTCGATTTCATGGCGAGGGAAATGGCATTGCTCCAGCATGGCAATTACCTGACAAAGGCGAAGGTACTTTGACGCCGCTCTTGGGGTTTATTGACATTGGGCCTTAGTTTACAAAGGCACTCTCCACATACGCACACAGACATGTATATATCATATACATGTGTGTATAATATATATATATATATATATACACGTACACAAAAAATCATAACCGATTACATCACTCAAATCCTCCAAACAATCGGAACCCGACAGAACTCACTACAGCCCGATCAAAAGCCCATTCTGCACGCCTGTTCGAACAAACCCTCCGTTTGGCCATAAACACCTCCACACTCGACGCCTTCCGCCGTACCCACATCCTGCAAACGTTCAAGCATTTCCAAACCTTCTAGCCTAGGGTTTAAGGTTTGGGGTTTGGGGTGTAACTGATAGCATTGGGGCAATCGCTCCTGGCATGCCGGCCCATAGAGAAGGAATAATTCTAAGGTTGAGCCCATGGGCCCCTAGTATCCTAGGGGGATTCTAGGGACCCTTAAGGGAACAGATAGGGTAGAAATATATAGTAGGTGTATGAGGATCCCAGCGTTAAGGGCCCATACTAGGGGCCCACAGGTTCAACAATAGAAATAATCGGAGCACAAACATACCTATGGATTCTCCCCTTCGGCTACACGATAAGAGGGACCTATACAGGCTCACGCAAGAGTCCAGGCACCTCCCCCAAAGGCAAGCAGCGTCGTAGAAAGGACATAAATTAGTACACCCACTTCGGCGCGATTTATAGCATTCTTTGCCATGCCGTGTTTGAGAGATTGGAAAACCATGGAAGGCAGACCAGCCAAACTGCCTCGTCAGCTTCCAAGTCCAAGCCACAGAGTCCAGCTCGTTTGGGCGCGGGCCGCCCTAAACCCTA